ATCTGTATTCTGGTTTATGATCCGAGTGTACAAATATCTGCGTCAGAAAGGACTGTTACAAACCTTTCCTAGCATCAATCAGTTTTCAGTGGCATTAAGTACAAGATCTTTAAATCCACGATCTGTATTCTGGTTTATGATCCGAGTGTACAAATATCTGCGTCAGAAAGGACTGTTACAAACCTTTCCTAGCATCAATCAGTTTTCAATGCCATTAAGTACAAGATCTTTAAATCCACGATCTGTATTCTGGTTTATGATCCGAGTGTACAAATATCTGCGTCAGAAAGGACTGTTACAAACCTTTCCTAGCATCAATCAGTTTTCAATGCCATTAAGTACAAGATCTTTAAATCCACGATCTGTATTCTGGTTTATGATCCGAGTGTACAAATATCTGCGTCAGAAAGGACTGTTACAAACCCTTCCTAGCATCAATCAGTTTTCAGTGGCATCACTCACCTACAGGACGTCAAACAATGTCAAAATGTAGTTTCATTTTTGATACAACACATTCTACCACGATTTCAATATATTTTTGTGTTTCAGTATGCTGATTTGCATGTTCAAAACTATCCTAACCAAACGTACTCAACTCTCTGTATATATACATGGAAAATACTTTTGTTTTTCTGTTGCAAGTATGGTTTCATTTCTTCGCTTAAACCTTCCAGCTTGTTCTTTCCAACTAAATTCACGACCATCTTGTTATTTGAAGATTTTTAGTACCTGTTAGCTAATTCATCTTAACCAAAATTACCAGACTTTTAGCAAGATTTAAGAAAAAATGGATTTGAAGTTTATGAAGGTTCACAAGCAAAAAGTTAATAAGCTTCCAGCTATACCCCACTATCAATGGCTGTTTCATAAAACAAGTAAAAAAAACGCTAATCGCAGCAATTCCATTTTATCACATACCCCCACTGCAGGTTCAATGCACTATTATGCCTTTGGTGTGCTTAAACATTATCTTATAAGCGGATGCTCACATATAGTGAAGATTGTGGAAATTTGGTTTAAATGTTTAGTCCATTATTGACCTACCATCCTTCACAGAAGCTTCTTACAATAGAAATAGATGTTGCAAGTATACCATAAACCTATTAAGACCATCATAGTGAGCTTCATCGACAATGGAAGAGGTGGTTTCAAGCACGGAATCTAGTACCTTGTTTCTATAAAGTGCGATTAGTTCAAGATGACTATTCGCAAAATAAAGTAAGTCTGTTTTTCTTGATAATTTGTTTTTGTTTTTTTTTTGCAAACATAAGACTCCAAAACTAAGAAGTTAAGGCTAAAACAGTTCAAGTTTAATACTATATGGATTTTATATGAAAGTCTTCTCTGTATTCTAGTTGGATTACTAGATTGTTTGTATTTCGTGTGTCTACATTTTCTCATCTAGATTTATTGATGGTCTTGCAACAATAGTTTCTTTGATTTATTGGTGGTCTTGCAACAATAGTTTCTTTTTTGATTTATTGGTGGTCTTGGAACAATAGTTTCTTTGATTTATTGGTGGTCTTGCAACAATAGTTTCTTTTTTGATTTATTGGTGGTCTTGCAACAATAGTTTCTTTGATTTATTGGTGGTCTTGCAACAATAGTTTCTTTGAGATACATCTTTTCCTTTGCCGAAACTTTCATACTGTAGTTAAACAAATCACACAACTAAATTTATGTAAAATATCTTTCTATAAGAATTAACTTTAAGTTTAACCTGACTGATTAATACAGAAAACGTTCGGATACTTTCTAGCAACTTTCAATATTAAAGCATGGTAACATTTCTAAACATATCTTAATCTTTAAGTTATTATAAACTTCTTTAAAAATCGCCATATCAGTTATATGCCAGTATATAGTGAACAATAAAGAAAACACTTCTCAAAAAAAGAAAGTAAATATAGGAATGGCTAATATCCATCCTTCAAAAACAAGTTAATAGAGATGGCACTTGCATTATCCATACATAATAGCACAGGTACACAGTAAATTAGAGTGTTAAAAGAGACAAATTGGATGAATAGTGATATACATTGCTATATGTTAATTCTTGCCTGTGTTATTATTTAGGGCTATCTTGTTTCCATTGTTTTTGAAGAATTAATATTAGCTATCTCTACTTTTACTTCCTTTTTTTTTGAAAGGTTTTGTTACTTTTTTTTTTAATGCAGTGTTTCAATAGAATAAAAATGTTGTATTTATAACCAAGTTCTAAATGCAGTAAGTTTCCACCTGTAATATTTATTGTTTATCTGTTATTGACTGGTAATTCCTGTTTCACCCTGTACTTAAGCTTTTTAAATGAACAACAATTACTGCAAAAAAAGCTAACTTCAAGGGGGTAATGATAACATCGTTTACAATAGAATTGTGATTTTTTTCAGTAACTACCAGTTAATAATACTTATAAAAGCGAATACTCCGTTTGAAACTATATCACCTTAGTGAAATTGGTTGATACCATTGTTTTGGTTTTTGAGTTATCATGTAATAAATAGGAAGTTAAATAAAGAAGAACAAGAAATTCAAACTTTTCGCTATGATATTTACAGACATTCCCTGAACTTGTGACTCAGTCACTACGTAGATATTGTTATAAATGGAAACACTATATAGTATTGTCAAGTTTCATTGACGTATTTAGAATACATTTAAAATACCATTTCCATGAACAATCTGAGCCATCCCTACAGAGGCAGTGCTACCGCCTGCCTGATAAGATACAATTAGTATATATAAATTCGTAATATAGAAGATTATTCGCATTTTATAAAGATTATTTGCAAATAATGCAGTGACGTGTTACCATCTAATGTTTAACACTTATATTATTAGCTATATACTTTGTTCACGGCAAGAACTCGAAGTTTATAGAGGCTCAAAACCAATAATTCACAAGCTTTCAATCACACCTTGAAATCAATGGCTGTTAATCTTTAAAAAAGGTGTTTGAAAAAACTGCAGTCACTACATAATTATCAGTCAAGGCTGTCAGTGCTGATCAATAGAATTTTGTGACTTTGATGTACTAAAACAAGGTCTTGGAACAGTCACTACATAATTATCAGTCAAGGCTGTCAGTGCTGATCTATAGAATTTTGTGACTTTGATGTACTAAAACAAGGTCTTGGAACAGTCACTACATAATTACCAGTCAAGGCTGTCAGTGCTGATTAATAGAATTTTGTTACTTTGATGTGCTAAAACAAGGTCTTGGAACAATCACCACATAATTATCAGTCAAGGCTGTCAGTGCTGATCAATAGAACTTTGTGACTTTGATGTGCTAAAACAAGGCCTTGGAACCATGTACAGCAGAGACGAGACTTGTGAAAAGTTTGTCGAGATATGCAGTCTAAGCTTTGTCTTTACAGAAGTTTATTGTATTGGAAATTGTATTGTTTGGCAATAATGCTTAATTCTGGCCATCAGAAAGCGGAAGATCAATGATAAGAGGAAGTAGTTCCGAGAGCAACGTTTTTATAAATTGCAATTAATCCTAAGAACAGGTTTGTTACAATCTGTTATAATTCATATATATTGTACCTACATTTATAAGTCAGAAGTGAAAGTTACGACGTAGCTATTTATAAAACTCGTGCTTGCATTAGAAAGTATAAAACGTTAAACTAAAATAATTCGCATTTTATACATTTTATGGGATTCTTCTTATGAACATATATATATATAATTAATGGATATTTAGGGAAACATGGGCATTGTGGAATTCAAGTTTGCGTCTATAGTTGTTTGTTCGGATATGTGATATCCCGCTTAGATCCGATAATAGGTGTGACTATACGTGTGAGATACCACTTCATTATAATATAGTATCAAACTAGTTACTTCGTCATTTTATTTTGCAAATTTAATAATAAAGATGTACGTCGGGATGAGTGAGGAGCCATTGCAGGCTCTTTAAGGGAAATACGGCAATAGCAGAGTAAGGCAGTGAGTGCTTTACATCCACAATCCCCCGCCGATATTGTTGCTTGGATGTCTGCTTGCCGTTGCTATCGCTACCGTGACGACATGTGGCATACATGATGACTGTTATGACTATCAGCGCTCCTAATCTTTAATATTGGGTAAAAGGCTACTATGTTTAGTAGCTAATAGAAAGCATCAGCGGGTTAGATGACGTAATAGCTATTACGCGTGACGTAGTGCAAGTATAGTATTATTAATAATGGTTGGAGACGGCCTGAATGGGTAATGAAGAAAAACTTTAATATAAGTTTAACATACCAGCAAATGTACAACGTTTCGACAAGGTTTGTCATCAATTACGCGTGACGTAGTGCAAGTATAGTATTATTACGCGTGACGTAGTGCAAGTATAGTATTATTTATTACGCGTGACGTAGTGCAAGTATAGTATTATTATTACGCGTGACGTAGTGCAAGTATAATATTATTACGCGTGACGTAGTGCAAGTATTGTATTATTACGTGTGACGTAGTGCAAGTATAGTATTATTACGCGTGACGTAGTGCAGTATAGTATTATTACGCGTGACGTAATGCAAGTATAGTATTATGCCTGAGTAATATTGTTAGGTAATTTGTTGATGGAAATACTATCTGATTTTCGATTCATCGCAAAATTAGTATGCGATTGGATGGAATTTCACTGGATAGTGCGATATCCTACCGAATATAATATTTGTTCCATTACTAATTACAGTCTAATTGAAGACATCCAACTTTAATTCCTGATTGTAGAGTAAGTTCTGGAGTAATATGGAAGTCATTTTGTATGAATTATTAAGTGAAACCAAACTGATTAAAACAAATTTATTGTTTCTGTCTGCCTATATTTCTTCTATCAGGACATCTGTTTGTTGATCTGTGTTAATATATTGTCTATTTATCTATTCACATACGAATTGTAATGGTATACAATTTTATCCAGCTGTTATATATTACTTAGCAAATGAATCTAAAACTAAAGTTATATAAAATTAATAAAGATTTATTTCTGCCTTCGATAGACACAGATTATTCCTCTCAGATCCAGCTGGGTTATGGCCACATGCTTTGCTCACTCCGGAAACTATGTGGCTGTAGGAGGCATGGACAACATGTGCACAGTCTATGATGTGAATAACAGAGACAATACAGGTGTGGCTAAATTGAAAAGGGAGCTGGCAGGTTATGAAGGATTTCTTTCTTGTTGCCGTTTTCTTGATGACGGAAAACTCATTACAGGTTCAGCTGATATGAAAATGTAATGACTGCGTGAAAACTTCTCTTTATTCTAATGAATGAAAATAATACACATATTGGATTTATGATAGGAAAGAGTTTTATAGGAAGATGACATGAGGTACAAAGTAAAAATTAACTTAAAAATAGATGAAACCAGGAAACTACAATGTATTCTTTATTGTCATTCATATCATTTTGATGCAAAGGTCAATTCATCAACAACACTTTTCATCGTGTGATCTGAAATACAAACGATTAGTTATTCAGTCGAAATTCATGCACAAACACAAGGTAGAGGTGGCTTTATGTTATAACATTTCATCTCAATATGAAGAATGGTCATAACTAACACAAGAGCTTTTATGGAATCTTTAGTGTCTGAAGTCATTTAACAGTACGTAATCTGTGTGTGTCTTCCAAAAACATTTCATAAATGCTCACTGAGACTGAAGTCTGATCAATGTGTGCAAGCCGTTTGGTTAGTCTCTGTTTCCTGTGTTAAACTGATCGACACGTTCCTTGAAGAAAAGAGGTTTTATCGTCCATTACAATGAAGTCGGGAAATATTTAACCAGAATATGGGATGTGTTCCTTGTAAAATGTAACATTAATGATATCACTTTATAAGACATAGGAGTCAATATATTATCAATACTTATAATTAATGATATCACTTTATAAGACATAGGAGTCAATATATTCATCAATACTTATTTATGGTTACGCCATTTTTCCACCATGTTTGAAAATAAGATCTGTCATGGTTCCAGATTTTCCTTAAATACACTTACACACATTGTATGGAAGGAAGGTGAAGTGCTACACATCTCATTAGTTTACCTGACTTGTTCTTGGAATCCTTGCTGTAAGCGAAATACACCTCATAGGGAATTTGGAAGTCACAGTATTATAACTATTCTGACTTAGAATTAAATGTAGGATACATTATGATAGTCGAAGTGTCCGAGAAACTTTACCATTGACTTGTAAACGATGTGCGACATTTTTAAACACTAGTGGTCAATTCGCAGTAAGCTGTTTTGAATACTTTCATTTGTCCGATGTCTCTTTTCATGAGTGAAAGTTCAGATGTCTCGAGGACTAGCTATACCTCATTGAAATTCTACAGCACTTTAGTCTCTGTGATTATTGTCAAAGTGTCAGACGAGACAAGATTGTATGAGACTACAATATATAATTGAATTTCAGATCATATAACCGATAATCAGATATCTGATATGAATAACAATGAACTGAGGGGGTTAAATGAGAGTATTTTATAACAACTTTTTTGTTTGATATATGTATGAACAGACTAATATATATTAACATTTTGAATCTACATAGAATATAAATTTACGCGTATATATGTCCGGAAAACAAAACATATAACTTGTTAGTAACAACCTTAGGCAGTTGATCAATTTTTATATGTGGTTGTTTTTTCTTGTTAAGTAGTAAAATGTTACAGATTTAATTTTGAAGTAAGGGAAAATATGAAGCGACACAATGAATGGTGCTGATTTCTTAACTTATCAAAATATTACAACACATTATATGTATAAAATAGTACTGGACCATTTCATAGATCATGCTAGATTTTCTCTACTCTTATTTAACCATGAAAGTGTCACAGACTTCTTTTTTAAGTTTTATTTTGCAATTTTTGGAAAACACTGGATTTTTTTTCTTTTAATTATGGATAAAAAGGTTGCTATCTAAAGTTTATTGATAACAGAATCTGACTTCTGTTTCTACTACCACTTCCACTCATGGACCATGTTGATGTTTACTAGCTTAATCTGGGATCTCGAGAAAGGAGTGAAAGAAAATGAATTTTTCGGCCATCAGGGAGACGTGATGACCATGTCTCTTCATCCAGATAGGAACACCTTTGTTACTGGTTCTGTGGACAGATCTGCTAAGGTCGGTTTCAAATAAGCGAATCATGAAAACACGTTTAGTATAATTAAAAACTTCTAGGAGAGGAGTGAATGTTGTAAGTCATCAAGAATTATATTTATCAGTCAGAAAATAAAAATTTTCAATTTTTGTTATAAAACCAAACTTGTTATTTTGTTTTAATGTAACTTTTCAACAAATACAACTACTATAAAATGTTTCATCCTTAAAAAAACAAATATTAAAAGAAAAACAACTGAGAAATACCACATTTGAGACGCGACGATGAATTGGAGAAGTAGAAAATGGATTTGAATCCAACCTAGCCTGAAGTGAGATAGGGTTAGCGTGACGGACTGTTGATCCGAGGGTCAATGGTTCATGTCTCGTTTGACTTGACTGTAGTATCAACACTCGCTCCATATATTTTACAAGGCCTTTTTTGTGTATCTTGTTTTGTCTACTTTTATCTAATCATGATATAAGTCTCTTTTAAAATATCGAGCTCTTGGTTTGAGGAAATTTTAAAGTGTCCATATAAAAAATGGTAGCACTTTTTAAAGAGGAAAATCAATAAGGCCTCTGTTAAAATTATCTTTTTGAGGTACAATACAGAAATATATATAGAACTTTTAAAGACTAGTAAATGAAATTTGAAAAAGAAAAGAGTGCGAAAAAAGTTAAATGTAATTCCATTTCAGTAGGTATAGGTTTTCATTAGCCCTTGTTATAAATTTTTGAGAGTGGTTAAAACCATCATAATCTATACATACATTAAATACACCAAAGTGAGTGTTTAAAACATATTATTGCTAATGCATTTTGATAAAAACTGATATGTTTGTATGAAATGAGCAACTGAGATTCTGTTGATACTTATAGCTATGGGACATACGAGACGCTCAGTGTCAACAAACATTCTGGGGTCACGAGTCTGACGTCAACTCTGTCTGTGTAAGTACTACTTTGAAACAATAATATCATAGTTCCATTTTATCACAAATATCAGGAATTCAATATTATCAAAAAATTAAAACTTTGAATTCTAGATAGCTTTTTTATTTATATTTCTTTTAGCTACAAATTATTAACCTAGTTATATATAAACCTTAATATACATCACCTCATTTGTAAGATATTGTATAACAAGTTTGTTATTTACTTAATATTCTTTAAACTAATAGCGTTAGAAACAATGTTCTTTTAGTGCCTCTGAATACCACTGTTATGTGTTTCTCGATATGGGTGTGAATGTATATGTAAATATATATATATAACCCGATAGCCCTAGAAGATTGATCTTCCTCAAGATTACCAAAGAACTTATCTTCCAAATCCACTCGATTTGCGAGTTTGTTTATTTGTTATTTATCTGTTCTTTATGTATATTTTAATTTACCACTATTTGTTTCTTTCAGTTTCACAGTAGTGGATTTGCTTTCGGAACTGGGTCAGACGACAAAACAGCTCGGATGTTCGATATTCGAGGGGACCAACAAATTGGAATATACAAACCGCCGACTCCAAAGAGCGGCTTCACGTCCTGTGTTTTGTCCAACAGCGGCCGTCTAATAATATGCGGTTCCGACGACTATTCAATTCATATCTGGGATACGCTTCGTTCAGAGCATAATAGTAGGTGAACTTTAGAGTATGCCTTTAGCACTTTGTTGAACTTCACTCTATGTATATAAAGAGCATTCATCTATATCACACATACAATTGAAACCACGCGTCAATAACAGCGTACCTACACTAGGCAAGTTAAAATATTCTTGTAGCACAAAAGTGAGACCAGACCACATGGGTAGATTACAGCATGCACATAATATAAAAGTAAATTAGACCATACTTTCCTGTAACGCAATGGCAACCTTGAGCCATAACTATCTAGTGTGTACCATAACTACACCAGAAAGCCAATCAATAATTGTAAGATGCTGTGAGGTAATTCACACCATGGAACAAATGTAGAAGTTGGCTCCACATCTCGGACAGATAATTTTGAAAGAAAATATAATTAATTAGATGAACTAGGTTACACCTGGAACTCATAAACAGCTAAAACACGACTTAACACGTGGACAGGCTAGACCAAACATGTAACAAGAAGATAGCTATGTTATCCCTGTAATACTTATAACATACTTATAGCTTATAGGTAGACAAACCATCCTCTATAACACACAAATAGATAGGCCATTTCTGTAGCAGACAGACTGCTAAGCCATTTGTAACTCACAAGTAAGTAGACTATGCTTATAATTCGCAAGTAGATAAACCATATCTGTAACACGCAGATGTACAAAGATCATGCCTATAATAGCAATAAGCTCAATCATTCTTGTGACAGAATGGTAGTTTGAAAGGTAACTAAATCAAACTTGTAACCTGCAGGTGAGCTAGAATGCAGGGTGAAGTACGATATATTAAAACGATTTGGAATATGCAAAACAGCAAGTCACGTGAAAGCCACAGCCAATATAAATTCAAGGTAAAACGGAATGTATCAGAAGTACATCTTAACATTGCTTGGTGTTTTGTAGATAGTGTGATGCCACCTAAAACTGATCGCTTTTGGCTTTCCAACACAAAACATTCATACACTCAGATCGTAAAGAAATGTTTAGAGCGTAGATTTATAGTTTCCAAAATGGAAATATCCCTTGTAATTAATTGTTTTAAATAAAATTAATCAAACAATATTGGAAAATGAAGGAATGTGGATCAACCGGGTGAACCAAGATCATCAAGAAAGAGACCTGTAACAAATCATACCTCAGCTTTGATAAGTAAAGTGTGGCGTCTTGTAAAAGGTGATAATCCACAAACCCAAAGTCAGCAGTGAAACTATCCACACGCCACAGGCAACAGTATGCAACATAAAATAAAATGTCTCTTTGTGGAAATGAGATCAACAGAATATGGGTTCTTCAAGATAAGACTTCCAGTCGTATCTCCTGCTAGAATGTCACAATCTCAAGCACGTGGAAACTGAAACGGGTATTTATATTTCATATAGAGATACATCTAAGTTGCTTTACGCATTTCCTTTGAATTTTTATGGGCGCTGTGTAGCAGTCGTCTCGTACACTAGATGAATTATTGAAAGGAGGTGGTATGCTTTGGACATTACAGACTTACAATGGAGCCTTTTGCAATGGAAAATATGTTGCAGTCCTATTGTCAAGATGCACAGCCATCAGAAATAGCATAACCGGACGTGGCGACACGGACAGTAACAAGGTGGTGAGGCTCAAAATCATTTTAATTTAATGTACTTAACCTCTCTATACGCACAACATTAAGGTTGCTACAGACGATACGTGTAACAATCACATGGTGTATAATCGAGTTTGTGTAAATTATACATATGATATATTAGAAATTTGATGTCGATGGAAATATATACACTATTTCAGAAGTAGGTAGTAAATATAACATATATAAAAATGTGTTATAAGTTAAGGTCAACAAACAAACCTAACACTAGGTAAAAATGTGCTTTAAACTGTGATAAAAAACCCTACTATGCGTGAGATTGTGCTTTAAACAGAGGTAAATGAACAAACCCTAAGACAAGGTAAGAAATCGTTAAAAGCTGAGACCAATAAAAAATCCAAAGACGAGGTAAGAATGTATTGTAAACTGAGATCAACAAACTCTAATAATACAAGGTAAGATTGTGTTGCAAACGGAGATCAAGAAACAGATCACAAGACGAGGTAAAAGTGTATTGTAAACTGAGATCAACAATATCTAACAATACAAGGTACGATTGTGTTGTAAATGGAGATCAAGAACAGATCACAAGACGAGGTAAGAATGTATTGTAAACTGAGACCAACAATCTCTAATAATACAAGGTAATATTGTGTTGTAAATGGAGATCAAGAAACAGATCACAAGACGAGGTAAAAGTGTATTGTAAACTGAGATCAACAATCTCTAATAATACAAGGTAAGATTGTGTTGTAAATGGAGATCAAGAAACAGATCACAAGACGAGGTAAAAGTGTATTGTAAACTGAGATCAACAATCTCTAATAATACAAGGTAAGATTGTGTTGTAAATGGAGATCATGAAACAGATCACAAAACAAGATAAGAATGTATTGTAAACTGAGATCAACAATATCTAATAATACAAGGTAATATTGTGTTGTAAATGGAGATCAAGAAACAGATCACAAAACAAGATAAGAATGTATTGTAAACTGAGATCAACAATCTCTAATAATACAAGGTAATATTGTGTTGTAAATGGAGATCAAGAAACAGACCACAAGACGAGGTAAAAGTGTATTGTAAACTGAGACCAACAATCTCTAA